CCCTCCCCAACTAAAAAATCCCCACTTAAGGCAGCAAAACCCAGCCCTGTTTTCATTTTCCCCTTAAAACTCATTATTTTTCTCCGATTCCCAGGTTTATCCCCCCCCGCAAGAAGTATTTCCACCTCCCCCTCAAGTCTCTGTGGTTTCTCCCTGGAGAAAACATCACTATTTTCTGTCAAAGCTTGTTTTTCCCCTCAAATATCCACCCTACCCCTCATAAAACAGAGGCTTCCCCCCCTAAATTCTTATTTTCCCCTCAGAGCACCCCCTTTTTTTTTTCCTTCGATAAATCCCCGCTTTATTCCCTCCCAAGAACCTGCCTTTTTTTCCCCGCAGAACCTGGCTCGTTCTCAAAACTTATCTTTTTCCTCAAAATGCTCGTTTTATTATAAAAAAAATCTCAGAAAACATTACTTTTATTAAAAAAATACTTTTGCCCGAACAATACATTTTCCTCTTGGAAAAAACAAACCCCAAACCCCACAACAAACAGTCTTTCCTCCCCAGAAAACCCTGATTTTTAGCAAATCCTCAGAAAACGCCCTTTTTTCCCCCTCAAACCCCATTTTTTCCTTTAAAAGCCACTGCAAACCTCACTTCTTTAAAATAAAATACCTTTTTTTCTCCTCAACCCTCCACGTTTTCCTCAGAACCCCCCATTTTCTACCAAAAGCTCCTGTTTTTCTTCTCAGACCCCCCCCCCCCCCCCCCCCCCCCCCCAACACCCCCCCTTTTCTCATAAAATGAGCAACAAGGATTTTCCACGGAAAAAATAACTTTTTTGCTCAACTCCTGTTTTTTCCTTCCACCCCCTCCCTGCTTTCTATTGAAGAAATCCCTTTTTTTTTTCTCCAAACCCCGTTTTTTTCTCAAAAAAGAAAAAAAATAACTTTTCCTCCCAGCCCCCCCCCACTTTCTATCCAAAAAACCCTCTTTCCTCAACTTTTTTCTCATAAAAAGCACTTTTTTTTGCTCCAACTCCCCATTTTTCCCCTCAGAACCCTTCATTTTTAGGAAATCCAAACCTTTTTCTCAAAATCCCTGCTTTTTACCCCAAGCGTCACTTTTCTGCTGTTTTCTGGGGTGCCTGGGATCGGGGGGCCTGGGTCCCAAGGGATTGGGGTGCCCAGGTCCCAAGGGATTGGGGTGACTGGGACCCAAGGGATTGGGGTGGCTGGAATTGGGGTGCTGGGGTCCCAAGGGATTGGGGTGCTTGGGATCAGGGTGCCCGGGTCCTAAGGGATTGGGGTGTCTGGGATCAGGGTGCTGGAGCCCCAAAGGACTGGGGTGCCCACGATCGGGTTGCCCAGCATTAGGGTGCCCCAGGCTCTAAGGAATTGGGGTGCCAGGGTCCCAAGGGATCGGGTTGCCCAGGATCCGGGGTGCCCAAGCCCTGAGGGATTGCGGTGCTCGGGATCAGGGTGCTGGAGTCCCGAGGGAGTGGGGTGTCCAGGCCCCAAGATACCGGGGTGCTCGGGATCAGGATACCTGAGCCCCATGGGATTTGGGGTCCCAAGGGATTGGGGTGCATGAGATTGGGGTGCCTGGGTCCCGAGGGATTGGGGTACTTGGGATCAGGATGCTGGGGCCCCAAAAGTTTGGGGTGCCTGGGATTGGGGTACCCAGGGATCAGGGTGCCCAGGCCCTGAGGGATTGGGGTGCCTGGGCCCCAAGAGAGTGGGGTGCCCAGAATTGGGGTGCCTGGGCCCTGAGGAATTCAGGTGCCAAGGATGGGGGTGCCTGAAAATGGGGTGCTGAGGATCGGGGGTGCCGGGACCCTGAGGGATTGGGGTGGCACCCAGGGATCAAGGCACCAAGGCACAGGCAGAAGCAGGGTGCCCGGTCACCCTGCAGTCGGGGGACCCCAAGAACCAACCGCCCTCATGTGCTTTCCCAGGGGGGTGTGGGACTTGGGGGGTCTCGGGGTGCCCCCCGGGGACCCCCACGTTAAGCACTGTGTTTCTGTCTCTTCCAGAAGCGCTTGACGTCGGGGTGCCCGCCGGGGGTCACCACCATCAGCCGCCGGCTGGGGTTCTCGAAGACCAGCACCCCCAGCGCCCGCGCGTGGTCCCGCAGCACCTCGAAATCCACCTGCGACAGGAACTGGTTGTACAGCACCCCTGGGTGGGGCGGGGGGGTGTCAGCGAGGTTGGGGACACCCCCCCGGGGACTGTCACCTCCCCCTGGGGACCCCGTGACGGCCTGACAACAGCCGGCACCTTGCGGGGGTCCCCTGAGGTGGCTGCCTTCTCCCGGGGGTCCATCACCCCTTGGGGACCTCAGGGGCTGTCACCTCCCCTCAGGGGCTGTCACCTCCCCTTGGGGACCTGCCCAGGGTTGTCACCTCCCTTTGGGGGCCTCAGGGGCTGTCATGTCCCCCTCAGGGACTGTCACCTCCCCTTAGGAACCTCAGGGACTGTCCCCTCCCCTTGGGGACCTCCCCAGGGTTGTCACCTCCCCATGGGGACCTCAGGGACCTCCCCAGGGCTGTCACCTCCCCTCAGGGACTGTCACCTCCCCTTGGGGACCTCCCCTCGGGGGCTGTCACCTCCCCAGGACTGTCACCTTCCCTTAGGAACCTCAGGGACTGTCCCCTCCCGTTGGGGACCTCCCCAGAGCTGTCCCCTCCCCTCAGGGACTGTCACCTCCCCTTGGGGACCTCAGGGACCTCCCCAGGGCTGTCACCTCCCCTCAGGGACTGTCACCTCCCCTTGGGGACCTCCCCTCGGGGGCTGTCACCTCCCCAGGACTGTCACCTCCCCTCAGGGACTGTCCCATCCCCTTGGGGACTTCCTCAGGGCTGTCACCCTGCCTTGGGGACATCAGGGACAGCTTTGGGAACCCTGAAGCTGCCACCTCCCCTTAGTTGTCCCCCCGCCAGGGCTGTCATGCCCCCCCTTGGGGACACCCTAGGATTGCCAGTTCCCCCAGGGGGCTCCCCTAAAGGCCCTGGGGACACCCCGGAGATGCCACCCCCCCCTCCCTGGGGACAGCGGGGTGACCCCAGGTGACACCGTTGTCCCTCACCCTCGGAGAAGCGCAGTCGATCCCGTTCCAGCTCCCACAGGCGGATCTGGTCGGTGATGGTGGGGGGCAGCACCGGGATCTGGGGGTGCAAGGGCAGGGTGGACCCCGGTGTCCGGGGACCCCCCTGTCACCCCCTGGGGGACCCCCAGGTGTCTGGGACCCCCCTGTCACCCCCAGGGGACCCCAAGATGTCCGGGCACCCACCTGCTTGGCCATGACGGGGTGCGCACGGGTGCGGAGGAAGTGGATGATCTGGCGGGGGGGGGGGCGGACATGTTAGTGGGGAGCACCCCAATATCCCTGGAGGCACCCCAATACCCCCAGCACCCCCCTGGGTACCCCAACACCCCCAAGGGCACCCCAAAATCCCCCTGTGAGGCACCCTAATGCCCCCAGCACCCCCCAGGGGACCCCAATGTCCCCAGGGACACCCCAATATCCCCTGGGGGACCCCAGTACCCCCAGGGACACCCCAATATCCCTCTTTGAGGTACCCCAATGCCCCCAGCACTCCCTAGGGCACCTCAATACCCCCTTGGGAGACTCCAATACCCCCGGGGCACCCCAATATCCCCCACTGAGGTATCCCAACACACCCGGGGGCACCCCAAAATCCTTCTCTAAGGCACCCCAGTGCCCCTAATACCCCCTGGGGCACCCCAATACCCCTAGGGACACCCCAATAACCCCCCTTTGAGGTGCCCCAATGTCCGCAGCACCATCTGGGGGACCCCAATACCCCCTTTGAGGCACCCCAGTACCCCCAGGGACACCCCAATACCCCCCTGCAAGGCACACCAGCACCCCAATAACCTCCCTTTGAGGCACCTCAATGTCCCCAGCACCCCAATACCCCCATGGACACCCCAATAACCTCCCTTTGCGACACCCTAAAGTCCCCAGCACCCCAATACCCCCATGGACACCCCAATAACCTCCCTTTGCGACACCCTAAAGTCCCCAGCACCCCAATACCCCCATGGACACCCCAATAACCTCCCTTTGCGACACCCTAAAGTCCCCAGCACCCCAATACCCCCATGGACACCCCAATAACCTCCCTTTGCGACACCCTAAAGTCCCCAGCACCCCAATACCCCCATGGACACCCCAATAACCTCCCTTTGCGACACCCTAAAGTCCCCAGCACCCCCACGGGCACCCCGATAACCCCCCTTTGAGGCACCCCAATGTCCCCAACACCTCCTGGGGGACACCGATACCCCCCTTTGAGGCACCCCAATGTCCCCAGCACCCCCAGGGGCACCCCCATACCCCCAGGTCCCTTCCCCACGCCCCTCGGGCACGTCCCCATGTCCCCACCTGGCGATGGCCACCCTAGCCCTGTCCCGTGTCCCCACCTGGTCGGCGGTGATGCCGTTGGCGATGGCCGCCTGCACGCTGTCCCTTGTCACCTGGGCCACCACCAGGTTGGGGAAGCGATAGAGGAGCTCGGAGAAGAGGGCGATGAGGGCGATCTGCAGCTCTGAGTCTGGGGGGGACGGGACACAACGGGGGCCAGATGGGACAAGGGACACAGGGTGACACGGGGGTCAGGACAGACGGGAGGCAGAGATGGGGGACACAAAGGGACGTGGGGGACAGAATGGGACAAGTGACGGATGGACAGGGGACGTGGCGGGGGGTTGGAGACCTGGATCCTCTGTGTCACCCCCTCGAGGGGACAGGGAGGGGACGGGGGCCCCACCTGTGTAGGCGTAGATGCGGTAGTTGGTCTCGACGAGGACGAAGCCGTGGGCGTCGGGCTCGGGGGGGGCCCCCGACGTCCCCGAGGCCAGCGCGATGGCCAGGCGCGTGGGGTAGAAACGGCGGGACTTGCGCTGGCGGCGGAGGGGGGACGGGGGACACAGGGTCAGGATGGGGACAAGGAGGGGACAGTGACAGGGACGAGGAGTCAAGGACGTGGCCATGGGGATGGGGACAATCCCCAACCTCTAAGAGGGTCCTGTCACCCCCCCGTGTCCCCCCCGTGTCACCTTTCTCTGGAAGACCAGCCCGAACTCGCGCAGGTGCTGCAGGAAGGTGAGCAGGGACTCGCTCATGCCCTCCACGGAGTAATCCTGGGGACAGCAGCTCCCAGTTACCCCCAGTTACTCCCAGTAACCCCCCCCAGTAACCCCTAAGGCCCCCCAGACCTCCCACAGAGTAATACTGGTGGCAGCAGCTCCCAGTTAACCCCAGTTACTCCCCAGTAACCCCTAAGGCCCTCCAGCCCTTCACGGAGTAATCCTGGGGACAGGCGCTCCCAGTTACTCCCAGTAACGCCCCAGTAACCTCTAACACCCCCCAGCCCTCCTGCAGAATAATCCTGGGGACAGCAGGTCCCAGTTACTCCCAGTAACTCCCCAGTAACCCCCAC